AAAACGATCAAAAACAAAAATGCTTTAATCATAACTTTTGTTTAAAAAAAGCAACAACATAAGCAAAAAGGTTAAAGATGAATTACAGTTTTTTAATGTCAAATCATTATGTTTCAAGAGTTGAAAAATTCGATAACTTTCTCCTAAAAAAAAATTGCAAACAAAAAGCAAAAAAAACAAAAAAAACAAAAAGAAAACAAAAAAAACAAAACAAAAAGACAAAAAAATGCAATTTTTCATCAGAAAAAAATGTAATTTTTTTTAGAAGAAAAATGTTTAAAGAAACAAAAATTGACTATTTCGAGATAAGTAATTCTTTTGAAATTAGATGAAAAATGATCATGTTTTTTTTTAGTTTCTATTATTTTAATTTTTTTTTTTGTGCTATTTGTAATAGTCAAAGAATATTACGTGCTGTGCTTACTTATTAGCAAAAGTTAATTATCGTACTGTGCTGTACTTATGAGTAAGAGTCAATTATTGTTAATTTTATAAGAATTTATTAATAGATAGGAGATTTCTTCTTTGGAAAAGCATGATGAGGACACCTGATCAAAAAAAAACAAAGAAGATATGATGATGACAATTTTTATTTCAATGATTATCACTGCATGAGAAAAACTAAAAGTTTCTGAAGAGAAAACGATCAAAAACAAAAATGCTTTAATCATAACTTTTGTTTAAAAAAAGCAACAACATAAGCAAAAAGGTTAAAGATGAATTACAGTTTTTTAATGTCAAATCATTATGTTTCAAGAGTTGAAAAATTCGATAACTTTCTCCTAAAAAAAAATTGCAAACAAAAAGCAAAAAAAACAAAAAAAACAAAAAGAAAACAAAAAAAACAAAACAAAAAGACAAAAAAATGCAATTTTTCATCAGAAAAAAATGTAATTTTTTTTAGAAGAAAAATGTTTAAAGAAACAAAAATTGACTATTTCGAGATAAGTAATTCTTTTGAAATTAGATGAAAAATGATCATGTTTTTTTTTAGTTTCTATTATTTTAATTTTTTTTTTTGTGCTATTTGTAATAGTCAAAGAATATTACGTGCTGTGCTTACTTATTAGCAAAAGTTAATTATCGTACTGTGCTGTACTTATGAGTAAGAGTCAATTATTGTTAATTTTATAAGAATTTATTAATAGATAGGAGATTTCTTCTTTGGAAAAGCATGATGAGGACACCTGATCAAAAAAAAACAAAGAAGATATGATGATGACAATTTTTATTTCAATGATTATCACTGCATGAGAAAAACTAAAAGTTTCTGAAGAGAAAACGATCAAAAACAAAAATGCTTTAATCATAACTTTTGTTTAAAAAAAGCAACAACATAAGCAAAAAGGTTAAAGATGAATTACAGTTTTTTAATGTCAAATCATTATGTTTCAAGAGTTGAAAAATTCGATAACTTTCTCCTAAAAAAAAATTGCAAACAAAAAGCAAAAAAAACAAAAAAAACAAAAAGAAAACAAAAAAAACAAAACAAAAAGACAAAAAAATGCAATTTTTCATCAGAAAAAAATGTAATTTTTTTTAGAAGAAAAATGTTTAAAGAAACAAAAATTGACTATTTCGAGATAAGTAATTCTTTTGAAATTAGATGAAAAATGATCATGTTTTTTTTTAGTTTCTATTATTTTAATTTTTTTTTTTGTGCTATTTGTAATAGTCAAAGAATATTACGTGCTGTGCTTACTTATTAGCAAAAGTTAATTATCGTACTGTGCTGTACTTATGAGTAAGAGTCAATTATTGTTAATTTTATAAGAATTTATTAATAGATAGGAGATTTCTTCTTTGGAAAAGCATGATGAGGACACCTGATCAAAAAAAAACAAAGAAGATATGATGATGACAATTTTTATTTCAATGATTATCACTGCATGAGAAAAACTAAAAGTTTCTGAAGAGAAAACGATCAAAAACAAAAATGCTTTAATCATAACTTTTGTTTAAAAAAAGCAACAACATAAGCAAAAAGGTTAAAGATGAATTACAGTTTTTTAATGTCAAATCATTATGTTTCAAGAGTTGAAAAATTCGATAACTTTCTCCTAAAAAAAAATTGCAAACAAAAAGCAAAAAAAACAAAAAAAACAAAAAGAAAACAAAAAAAACAAAACAAAAAGACAAAAAAATGCAATTTTTCATCAGAAAAAAATGTAATTTTTTTTAGAAGAAAAATGTTTAAAGAAACAAAAATTGACTATTTCGAGATAAGTAATTCTTTTGAAATTAGATGAAAAATGATCATGTTTTTTTTTAGTTTCTATTATTTTAATTTTTTTTTTTGTGCTATTTGTAATAGTCAAAGAATATTACGTGCTGTGCTTACTTATTAGCAAAAGTTAATTATCGTACTGTGCTGTACTTATGAGTAAGAGTCAATTATTGTTAATTTTATAAGAATTTATTAATAGATAGGAGATTTCTTCTTTGGAAAAGCATGATGAGGACACCTGATCAAAAAAAAACAAAGAAGATATGATGATGACAATTTTTATTTCAATGATTATCACTGCATGAGAAAAACTAAAAGTTTCTGAAGAGAAAACGATCAAAAACAAAAATGCTTTAATCATAACTTTTGTTTAAAAAAAGCAACAACATAAGCAAAAAGGTTAAAGATGAATTACAGTTTTTTAATGTCAAATCATTATGTTTCAAGAGTTGAAAAATTCGATAACTTTCTCCTAAAAAAAAATTGCAAACAAAAAGCAAAAAAAACAAAAAAAACAAAAAGAAAACAAAAAAAACAAAACAAAAAGACAAAAAAATGCAATTTTTCATCAGAAAAAAATGTAATTTTTTTTAGAAGAAAAATGTTTAAAGAAACAAAAATTGACTATTTCGAGATAAGTAATTCTTTTGAAATTAGATGAAAAATGATCATGTTTTTTTTTAGTTTCTATTATTTTAATTTTTTTTTTTGTGCTATTTGTAATAGTCAAAGAATATTACGTGCTGTGCTTACTTATTAGCAAAAGTTAATTATCGTACTGTGCTGTACTTATGAGTAAGAGTCAATTATTGTTAATTTTATAAGAATTTATTAATAGATAGGAGATTTCTTCTTTGGAAAAGCATGATGAGGACACCTGATCAAAAAAAAACAAAGAAGATATGATGATGACAATTTTTATTTCAATGATTATCACTGCATGAGAAAAACTAAAAGTTTCTGAAGAGAAAACGATCAAAAACAAAAATGCTTTAATCATAACTTTTGTTTAAAAAAAGCAACAACATAAGCAAAAAGGTTAAAGATGAATTACAGTTTTTTAATGTCAAATCATTATGTTTCAAGAGTTGAAAAATTCGATAACTTTCTCCTAAAAAAAAATTGCAAACAAAAAGCAAAAAAAACAAAAAAAACAAAAAGAAAACAAAAAAAACAAAACAAAAAGACAAAAAAATGCAATTTTTCATCAGAAAAAAATGTAATTTTTTTTAGAAGAAAAATGTTTAAAGAAACAAAAATTGACTATTTCGAGATAAGTAATTCTTTTGAAATTAGATGAAAAATGATCATGTTTTTTTTTAGTTTCTATTATTTTAATTTTTTTTTTTGTGCTATTTGTAATAGTCAAAGAATATTACGTGCTGTGCTTACTTATTAGCAAAAGTTAATTATCGTACTGTGCTGTACTTATGAGTAAGAGTCAATTATTGTTAATTTTATAAGAATTTATTAATAGATAGGAGATTTCTTCTTTGGAAAAGCATGATGAGGACACCTGATCAAAAAAAAACAAAGAAGATATGATGATGACAATTTTTATTTCAATGATTATCACTGCATGAGAAAAACTAAAAGTTTCTGAAGAGAAAACGATCAAAAACAAAAATGCTTTAATCATAACTTTTGTTTAAAAAAAGCAACAACATAAGCAAAAAGGTTAAAGATGAATTACAGTTTTTTAATGTCAAATCATTATGTTTCAAGAGTTGAAAAATTCGATAACTTTCTCCTAAAAAAAAATTGCAAACAAAAAGCAAAAAAAACAAAAAAAACAAAAAGAAAACAAAAAAAACAAAACAAAAAGACAAAAAAAGGCAATTTTTCATCAGAAAAAAATGTAATTTTTTTTAGAAGAAAAATCTTTATAGAAAAAAAATGGACTATTTCGAGATAAGTAATTCCTTTGAAATCAGATGAAAAATGATGTTTTTTTTTAGTTTTTATTATTTTAAGTTTTTTTTTGTAATGCCAAAGGCAGTAAGACGCGATAGTATTATAATGTTAAAAAATGATTGAAAAGTATCAGAGTAATTAAGAAAAGCTCAAGGTGCTATGGATTGAGCGGATATATCTATCGAATCGTCTGAGATTCAATAATGTAAACGTCATGAGTTCGATGTAAAAGTGTCTAAAGTTTCAGTGATGAAGAGGTTGATTTTATGATGAAAACATTTAATTATTTTTTCATATTCTCAGAATTTAAATTTGTTGATAGACACATTTGCATCTTTGTCGTTATTAAAAGTAAGAAAATCTCAAAGAGCAACTACAAGACTGGATAGTCTGAGTCTGAACTCATATCATAATTATAAGCGTTATGTGTTCAATGTAAAACGTGTTCAACTTTGTCAATAATAAAAAATTTAATTTGATAATTAAACACTTAATTATTTGATATTCTAATAGTTAATTTTAATTTTTTAAGGCGTTCTTTTCTCCATTTATCTGATTGTGTTTCTTTGAAACGTTTTTTTTTGTTTTCAGTTTCAACGTGTTCTTGGAAATTGAAATTCCGCTAGAATTTGACTGTGATAGGTAAGGGGAGGTGAGGTGTTGAAAGTTATCTCAGTTCCCAAAAAATATATCAATATCCGGAAAAAAAAGAAATGTTTCGAAGAAACACTGAAATTACTGAAAAAAACGATTTTGAAATTTCCCTCCAATTTTAGAATTTAATTTCAATCGTGCCATATATGAATTCCCGATTGTGTAGTTCTCGAGAACGAACACACACGAAGTTTTACCGCGACTGAACCCGTTATTATACGCTCTAATCCTAACCTCAACAGGTTTATGACCAGTCATTCCGTGCAGTACATGGAACATATCGCTGTTACGCGCAAACACCAAGGTAAGTGAAGAAATAATTAAGAAACAAATTAAATTGAAGCTGTCGAAGATTAGTACAACATAAATTCATGATAATTTCAACACATGTAATGCAACGTCGAACTACAAAGTGTGAAAAATCGGTAAATTCTGTATTTTCAGTTGTCACAATGGACTTAATTTTCCACACCATAGAGTGAACAATTCCCCTCATTTTTTTTCACTCTAAACAGAGATCGACAATAAATCAATATTTCTTTATCAATAATTCATTACCAAGCTGATTGTCAATATTAATAATTTGATTTTCATTACTTCTACAGTCAATAATAGAACGAATCCGATATTTAATTACCATTTCGATTTCTAATTGAACAAAACAATTTTTTGATTTAAACAAATGTGTTTAAAAATTGGACAAGACGTGGGTGTGTGTGTGTATGTCGTGTTTTTAAATTGAATAATGAAAATTTCTCAAATATTATTATTGATCGATACGACAATAAAAAAATTCCTTATCTCAATTAGAGATCATTAGAGTACTCAAATAAAGACAATTTATCATTACCAATTGCTAAAATAAGTACTAATGAAATGCGAAAATATTACCGAAAATAATGTTGGTGCCGATCCCTGTCTCTAAATGATGACCCAATTATGTTTGTATATTCAAAATTATTAGATCAATGGAGTTTACAAACACGCAAGGGGACCGAGTAGTTTCGACAGAAGATATTAGACAGTATTGGACGTTACGTTATGCGTTAATAGTTTTGTTCATTTGTGGCAATTTCATTGGTAGTAACATTCCGAACGGATTTGTAGTTTCTATTTAAAAATACAAAACATATCGTATAAAAAATTCAAACAAATATTTAAAAAAAATTGAAATCAATTCATTAGTTTAAAGCACTCGCGAAAAACGATTTAAAAACAAATCGCTTTGTCTCACGAATTATCGAATCGATCACGTCGATCTTATGAGCAGTAATAGTCCTTATTATGACCTAGATTGTGATAAATTTTCAGATTTTTCTGAAGTTTTTTTAGTGAATTTATTAGTAACAATAAAAAATGATGCGTTTTATTCACTACTCAATAATTGAACATTTTCAGATTCCGATTCCGTCCATCAGACGCAAATAGACGTCATCGAGTATCGCCAAGGACTTTTGTTGAGAGAGACTTTACCTGAGGTGTTTCAATCTGATTAAAGAGAAGAGAAAATAATAAAGAATAGGTAATGTATTACGTGTATTACTTTCAATACATTAATATTTTCCATTAATTAAGTTTTGATGTATCAACTCATGGTCATTTCTATTTCAGGTGGAACATCAGCTGGCTCTCATCATCAATATACAGTAGATCATTGATCATTTTGCGAAGAAGAAATTTTTTTAGATATAGTTGAATATATACAGACCTCTAGATTATACAGACTATATAGTTGATACAGACCTTCAGATTATACAGTCTACACAGACACTATAGATTGTATTGAAAATACAAATAGAAATAGAATAGAAAAGAATAGACGTAAAACAGATATATAGATATAAGATAAAAATAGAAATAAGAAGAGAAATAATATCGGATTGAAAGAAATTTCGATTGAAATAGATAGACCTCTCATTTTTTGTACTATAATAGAAATCAAAGTGCTCTTGAAGAATAAAGAACAATATTTTCACACGAATTGTTGATTTTTCACCATCTATTGAATAATTTCTTTCATTTTGTTCGAATATTCATTTGCATGGGTATTTGTGAGGGAAAACAATTTTGATTAAAAGCAGCTGTTATCATTAAATATCGCTGAATATTCATTCAATATGTCAAAAAGACCGGGGAAATCTCTCCCCGAATCCAAACAGAAACGAAAGTACAGATTTGTACATGATATGGCATATTCTGCAGATATCAATGAATTTTCACAGGAATCGCATGTACATGGTACTATCACTCCTACTTCTGAAAGTCAAAATGCAATGATTAATAAGAACGTTCCACGACCACAAGCATCAGTTAACGAACGAAGATCTGATTTGATTCCTAGGATCATCTCTAAATCACAAACATCTTCATTATCGCGAAAAGTTGACTCTGAACAACTTCACTCATTTCATGACCATTGTTATTTCCGTTCATCAATTTTTTCAGCACAGGAGACCAGTCAATCTAATATGAACGTTGCACGACAACAAATATCGCCCAACGAACAAAGATTTCATTTGTTTCCTAGGATCGTCACTGAACTGCAAATACTTTCACCATTTCAAGAAATTAGCTCCGAGCGATCTCGCACATTTCATGACCATTGTTATTTCCGTCCACCAATTCTTTCAGCACATGGAACCACTCAATCTGATATCCGGACAAGATGTAAGTATTTGTATGATGTTAGTAATTACACCACACCTCTCAATAATTCTTCAACAAATTCAAATTATGACTCGCATGTCAATGTGTTGCCTAATCCTGAACGTGAATCCCGACATGTTCAACCAGTTCTCAATAATGATCACTCAGGAATCCAGACAATTGATGTTCCACAGCATTATTTGGGCTCTATGAATGTCCTGTGTACGAGTTGCAGTGCAAAACACTTCCATGGTGAAAAAGTCTTACGAAAAACCACTTTCAATGATTGTTGTAGTCACGGTAATGTATTTCTTGAACCTCTACCGGAACCACCGCTCATTTTGAAACAATTATTCGATGGAACGCATGAAAAATCCCAACATTTTTTCCAACGGATTCGTCACTACAATAGTTCATTTTCATTTGCATCATTCAATGCCAATTTGGTTCAATTCAATAATCGACGATCTGGTCCTGTTTTAAAATTCGAGGACAAATATATTACCAAATCAATACAGCATTATATCCGACTATTGATGAATCTCCCAGCTATGGACAACTTTTCATTGTTGATCCGAATGAAGCTACGGAATTTCGATTAAATTCAAATTCCCATCTGAATAGAGAAGTTGTCCAAGCCATTGACGATGTGATGCGTCAACATAATTCCTTTGCGCAAGTATATTATATGATGAAAGAAGAGTTAGATTTGATAAGGAATCAAAATAATGGTGAAGAACCAGAATTGCAACTCTTATTCACTCTAAAGAAAGGTCTTGATAAACGACGCTTCAATTTTCAACGATCAAACGAAGTAGCCGCTGTTTTCTCTACAACGGCAGACGGTGATATTCCAGAATCGTATGTCACCATTCGTCCCAAAGATACTAAAGAATTACAGTCTTTAAGTACAATGGATCCCAATATTGAACCCTGAACTTATCCATTGTTTTATCCACATGGAACGATTGGGTGGCACATGGACATTCCTCAAGTCATTAAATCAAGAAGAGTTACTCGAAATGCATATTTCAAATATAGAATTGCCATCCGAGATGAACCAAATTATTTTCTGAGAGGGCGTCGTTTATTCCAGCAATGGGTTGTTCATAGTTAGGTAAAAATCGAAAAAGATAAGATGAATTATTTACGAAGCATACAGAAAGAACTCAGAGTTGATTCGTATGAAGGTCTGATGGAATATTTGAAAAATCAAGCAAGTGAATCAAATGCACGAATAAGAAAAATTTTCATTCTTCCATCATCACATGTGGGGTCACCACGTTACATGTTACAAATATATCAAGATGCAATGACAATTGTTCGAACATTTGGTAAACCTGATTTATTCATCACAATGACATGTAATCCAAAATGGCCTGAAATTACTGAAAATCTTGGTGATGGAGAAACTTCATCAGATCGACCTGATTTGGTAGCACATGTGTTCGAATTGAAGAAAAATGAACTCATGAAAATGATTAGAGTGAAAAAGATATACGGTGAGGTCCAAGCTTATGTTTATGTCATTGAATATCAAAAACGTGGTTTACCTCACGTTCATCTTTTATTAACTCTGAAGCCAAATTCAAAGATAACTACTCCACAAATTGTTGACAAATATATTTCAGCCGAAATTTCTGATCCCGTTGAAAATCCTCGGTTACATGAAATTATTAAAACTAACATGATTCATGGTCCATGTGGAGATTGGTGCTTGGATGAGAAAAAAAAGTGCTCCAACAAATATCCGAAAGGATTTTGTGATCAAACAACTATGGATGAGGATGGTTATCCTCATTACAAACGTCCCAACACAGGATCTTATACTCGGTCTGATGGATTCTCTTTCGATAATCGACATGTTGTTCCTCATAATAAACAATTGTTATTGACTTTCAACAGTCACATCAACGTGGAAATTGTCTCGAGTGTAAAAGCGGTTAAATATCTATATAAGTACATCTTCAAAGGTCACGATGCCGCAGCTGTTGTGATTCAGAATCCTGAACCGAATCAGCAAGTAATTATAGATCACGATGAAATTACCAACTATATAGAAACTCGTTATGTCAGTCCCCCTGAAGCATGTGCACGAATTTTCAACTATGAAATGCATGGTAGAAGCCACTCCATTACACGTTTGCCAGTACATTTGCCAAATCAGCAAACCGTCATGGTTGATGATCTAGATAATCAAAATGCTATTCAAGCAGCATTAAATAAGGAAACTATGCTGACTGCATATTTTGCATTGAATCGTCAAGATCCCCAAACTCGGAAATTCACATATGAAGACATTGCTTCTCATTATACATGTAAGAAAGTTAATGGTAGACTTACATGGTGTGATCGCCGAGCGAAATTCAACGTAATCGGTCGGATGCATACAGTCAGCCCAACACTAACTGAGCTGTTTCACCTTAGATTATTATTATTGACAGTGAATGTGTATGCATGCTTGGCATTGGGTCTGATTGAAGATGACGATGAGTGGAAAAATGCTATGAATGAGGCTGCAATTTGAATGATGCCTAACCAATTACGACATTTATTCATTCGCATATTGATTCACTGCAAACCAATCAAACCTGAGGAATTATGGGAAGAGTTTCAAGATATACTGTCACAAGATTACTCGCGTACCATGTCCCTACCAGAAGCTCGGAGAAAAGCATACATTGGAATAAATACTTTACTTATTCGAGAGAATTCAAGTCTTTCAAACTTTCCATCTATGCCTCAAATCATGGAAACAGATAGTACTGAAGATGACATGATGCCTGGTGATCACCTTGCTATCGGTACCGCGCAGTACCGAAAGCTCAATGAGGAACAAAAGGAAATTGTTGATAGAATTTTACAAAAAATTCATAACGGATATTCTGACAATGAATCATACTGTCTCTTCGTTGATGGTCCAGGTGGGTCAGGAAAAACTTTTCTTTATACAACTTTATATCATTTATTCCGGAGTGAAGAGAAAAACATTTGTACCAGGGCATTTACCGGGATTGCAGCTACATTATTAATTAATGGAAAAACACTCCATATCACTTTCAAATTACCACTTGCGTTTTACACTGATTCATCCTCGACTATAAAAGCTCAATCGAAGAAGGCACAATATCTTAGGAGTGTTGATTTATTCATTTGGGATGAAGCACCAATGGCACCACGACATGTATTAGAATTAATAAACAAGACTTTGAGATACGTTATGAACAATGATGAACTCTTCGGTGGAAAATTGATGCTATTAGGCGGAGATTTCCGACAATTATTGCCAGTAAATAAAAATGCAACACGTAGTGAATTAGTCGATTTATCGATCAAATATAGTCACCTATGGCCATCATTTTTGCAGTTGTCCCTCACTCAGAATATGCGTACACGACCAGAAGAAATCGAATTCACAAAATTTCTTCTATCAGTTGGTGATGGAAGCATTAATACCAATGACTGTGATATTCATCTCCCAGATCGTTGCATAGCATCTGCAGATGCTGATATTGCCGAAGATATGTATGGGCAAGTTATGAGAAACAAGCAGTACGATGAATTGACTTCATGGGCTGTATTGGCTGCAAGGAATGTTGATGTAGATGATATTAACAAACGTATTGTTGAATTATTAGACAGATCGACTGAGAGAATTTATACCAGTATCAACACTATTACTAACTGTGACAATGGTAACATGGCCGAGGCACTTTTACCAGAGTATCTAGAAACCTTACAACCTCCACGTTTACCTCCCCATGAATTACGATTAAGAATTAATGCAATCGTTATGCTGATTAGGAACCTGTCTATCAATGAAGGGCTTTGTAATGGAACGAGATTGCAAATACTTGAATTATCTAATCATTTGCTAAAATGTAAAATCTTGACGGGTGACAAATCCGGAGAGATAGTGTTCATCAATCGCATCACTCTCTACAGTAGACTCTCGTTATAGTCGCATTCGTTATAGTCGCATTTCCCCTCATATCGATTTTTTCGAGCTCGAGCGCTTCCCCCACTCCGTACCACCTCCGAGGTGTGGATTTAAATGCCCCTGTGTTTTCTCGGAATGGGCTTTGTTTTGCATTTCTAAGAAATTCGGGAAATAAAATTTAGGAAAAATGAATTTGCGAGAGAGAAATTCAGTTCAGTCTTGACTGTCACGAAGAGAGGGTCTTGGCAGTGGTGCATAATCCTGCTTTTTATTTGAATGAAGTGAATAAATTTTGGAGTGTATTGAACAATGCGATGTTATTAATATTTCTATTCATTTCATTAATTTACTAAAAGTGTTCAACGCAATTCATTTTGTTAATTTAATAA